AATTTCAAATATACGAGACAAACTTTTAAAATAATATCTGCTTTTTTTTCTCAATTTAAAAAAAAATAAACCATAAAAACTTCAAGTTCAAAAAGGTCCTCATGATTTATGACGTTCTTGTTCAAAATTTTGACACAATCCCGTGATAGCTGAGGTACATTTTGTACACCACATCATAGACCCGTTCTAGCTCTTTACCCAGACACAATCCGGGTGACGCTACACCGGATCGGTAAACCCACCTACCACGTACTCCGAGCAGAGGAGGGGATAGTTGCCGAAAACCATTGACGATATCTTTACAGAAAAAACCATGATTGACATTTTCGTTCCCGAATTCCGAGTGAAGATCAGCACAACTCCGTGCAACATCACGACCACAAAAATATTTTTGACCGGCAACACCTCCGAGGAAGACTGACCGGCTTGTTTAAATTCAGCAGCATGGAGTTGAACAAATTTCGGATTTAAATAAAAGATGAATATCCCCTTCTTAGTGATAAGACTTAACGTATTTTAATTCCATTTTCAACTTCTTATTTGTGAGAAGGTGGTTTTTCGACGGTAGCTGTGATTAAGAGTATCGAACAAAAATCAATATAGAATAGGAAATGAGAGTGGCTGTGTCTATTTTGATTCCGGAACATGAAAAAATGTGTAGTGATATGTAGGCTCTTCCATCCCTTTAATTTAATATCGAAAAATAAATTAATACATTTGAGTAATTAATAAAATACACGTTTCCATATTATCCATTGCTATTTATTCCGGTTTTTATTTATTTTTATCTAATCCTTATAATCATTACAATTAGCAGACGCAGAGCAAGTGACCGACAGCGCCAATAGGTGCATCGATCATTTACATATAATTTATTCCTGTGTCTAGCGTTCGAGTATGAGCTTGATATTCAATATTATGCCCATTAAAAGTGGTTATTGGTGCTATGGACAAGGATTGTTTGCATTGTAATGTTCTTAAGTTTAAAAGTGAGCCAGTCGGGATGTGCTGTTCGTCAGGAAAGGTGCGATTATCTGCAATTGAGATACTACCTAAACCATTTAACGGTTTACTTATCGGTACGGATCCAAATTCTTATCTGTTCCTAATGAAAATTCGAACATTTATTTCATGCTTTCATAAGACATTGTTTGGAGCAACAGAAATACTTAGGAGTAATGCTATCAATGGTCAACAATTCAATTCAACATTCAAATCAAAGACCAAATTTATCACAAAGTGGGCTCATTGCTGCCAATGACAAACTAATCACCTAAATGTTTACAAATTTACTTTATGGGTGGTGTGGATGCACGTTGTGGCTAAAATAACCTTGATTCATTTTTTGCCAGACGCATCATCAGAGAGCGAACGATTACGATACTTGCGATTCAATCAAAAAAAGCTGTGTGCGGAAGAATACCCGTGAGACGATATTGTCAACAACACCAACGTCGCACAAATCGGTAGCTCTGTCATTCTAACATCATTACACATAGGTGGTCCACCACATATGCAAGAATATACACAGAATGCTCTGACCTACGTGCGCGAATATGGACGGCCGTTTTTTATCACGTTCAAATGTAATCCAAAATGGCCGGAAATTTCATCTTTGATATTGCCTGGCCAAAATGAAATAAATTGTCATGACATCACAGCACGTGTGTTCAAACAAAAATTATATTCTTTAATAAATTTCATTACAAAATTACATGCATTCTGTTCCATACGATGCTGGATGTAAATAACAACCATGAAATAACACTATACCAAATTAACCGGTACGCAGCTCCAATGAAGCTGTTTTGCATATTTTTGGTTTCTCAATTCATGAACGGGATCCAGCAGTTATTCGTTTAGGTGTTCATCTTGAATACGACCAGCACTTAAATTTTACGAGCGAGACAGCGATTGATGGTGCTATAAATCCACCAAAAACTACACTCACCGAATTTTTTGAATTGTGTAATCATGCGGATGCTTTTGGTGCTTCTGAATAGACATTGTTTTATTCAGAAGTACCATGCTATTTCTTATGGACTCCAACAAAAAAATTGATATCCCGAAAGCAAGGCATATTTGATTGATGCATATCCCGGCTTATTCAAATCAAACACCTTGGGGCGAGTATTTACAGTCAACCCAAAGCAGACTGAATACTTTTATCTTTAACTGTTATTGTTTATATTACCGGACCATTGTAGTTTCAAAATATACGTAAAGTGAATAGGCAACAGTATCCAACGTATAAAGATGTATGCATTGCAATCGGCATGCTGGAAGACGAAAACCAGTGGGAATGTATGCTTGTTGCAACAGGATTAAAATTTACAGCAAAACAAATTCGTCTACTATTCGCTATAGTGTTGACTACATGTTTTCCGACCCAAGCAGAGATATTATGGGATAATTATAAAGATTCACGATGACTGATGATATATTGCATCAACATCGTACACGGTGCAGCGATCTATCGATAGCATTCAGTGACGCTATGTATATCGAAGCATTGATTGCTATTGAGCATCTTTGCTTTATCATTGCCAAGTTACCGCTCAATCGTTTCGGTATGCATTCACCAAAGCATCTTATTTAATATTTAATAAACACTGAATTGAATTGTAAACTACAATACAATATTGTGGAAATGGCAGCGATTGTTGTTCGCAACGTCCAACTAATGAATGAAGAACAAAGAACCATTTACGACTTCATCAGGCTTGCAGTTTCGGTAGGACAAGGTGGATTCTTTTTTTTGGATTCATCAGGTGGAACTGTCAAAACATTCCTTATTTCGATCATTCTCGTCGAAATACGGTCAAATAATGGCATCGCATTGGCTGTTGCATCATTTGGCATTGTGGCATCTTTATTGGATAGAAGCAGAACAGCTCATTAAGTATATAAACTGCCACTAAATATTTAAAATAACTCAGACGCAGTGTGCAACATAAACAAAAATCGTCCATGGCCACAGTGCTGAAACAGTGTAAAATTATCATCTGGGATGAAAGTACGATGGCACACAAACATTCGCTTGAGGCATTGAACAGGACATTAAAAGATATAAAAAACATCGACAAACTATTTAGCGGCACTCTATTACTCCTTTCAGGTGATTTCAGGCAAACATTTCCCGTTATTCCGCATTCAATAGCTGATGACATCAACGCGTACTTAAAATCATCGCCACTGTAGCGTAATGTTGAAAAAATACAACTGAAAATAAATATGCGCGTTCAAATGCTTCAAGACATATCTGCTGAAACATTTTCCAAAAAATTATTAGATATCAGTAATGGGAAGTTACTACAGTTGAAACTGGATACATAAAATTACCGATCGATTTCTGCATAATCATTGATACGCAAAATGCTCTCATTGACTAGATATTTCCCATTGAATATAGACAACATACAAACCATGAGTGGCTGGCAAAAAGAGCAATTTTAGCAGCAAAAAAATGTGGTCGTCAACTAATTGAATCTTAAGATACAACATGTGTTACCAGGTGACTTGGTGTTATCTAAATCTATTGATATAGTTTGCGATGCTACTGAAGCTGTAAATTATCCAACAGAGTTTTTAAACTCATTGGATTTACCTGGTTTGCCACCACATAATTTACAACTGAAGGTCGGATCTCCGGTTATTTTTCTTCGTAATTTGAACCCACCACGGTTGTGCAGCGGCACGCGATTAGTCATTAAAAAATTAATGAAAAATGTTATCGAAGCCATCATTTTAAAAGGCAAATATATAATTACCGCGAAGCCCTAATATACCCACAGATGTGCCAATACAATTCAAACGCCTTCAATTTGCAATTAGGTTGGAATTTGCAATGACTATCAAGAAGTCTCAAGGCCAAACTATGTCTGCCTGTGGCTTAGATTTGAGCACATCATGTTTTTCACACGGACAATTAGGTATACGTGGCGTGCTCTTGAGTGAGCAAACCATCCAGTTTGTTTGTGTTTGCGGAACATGGGACAACAAAAAATATTTTGCACTCTGTTGCATTTAGGTATTGATATAATTTTTTGCTAATATTGTCATAATTAGCTATATATATAATTTTAAAGGATCGATTTTAATAGATTATTAAAAAAAATAAATGTTCGATGTTTTTTCCTTTTTTATATTCCTTCACCGTTCACAGCACTCCATACTTCTTCCACATTCTTACATACTTATATAAAATTAAGTTATTTTTTTCCAACAAAATATTCCGTAGAAAAAATTTATATGACAAAACAACGATTGTTGAATCAGCTAGTGTCTTTGTAAAAACATAATTTACATTATATTATAATATAATATCAAATAAAATGCTAATACCTTTAATTTTCGTTTTAATTTTTAGTCCTTTTAGATTGCCAGTATCACTGGATCCCCCTCCATAAATACGCCACTGATTATTACAAACTATTAATAATTAGAAGTTCGTTAATTTTTGTGTGTTCATTGATATGTTAATTAAAAATTTTGTACATAAGTATAATACAATATAATTTAGGAATATAACAAAAAATGTATGATCATATGGATGACACGCAATAGTAATTTACAGAATTTTGTAATGAACGTAGTTTAACCAAACAAGTTATTAATCATATTATTATATTTATATTTTATCCTAAGATATTACATTCTTACTTTACTGCTCAAAATTTCAACGTAAAAATATTTAAATTCAACTACTGAATCATCTTTGTAAGAAAAATTCAAGTTTGAACTTTTTATGATGAATTAGGATTTTTTTTTCCAACTAACCCTTAAATATTTTTGATAGCGCCTATTATGCACCTAAACACACTGGTGCGTAGCACATTAGGCCCCGACTATATTTTTGGATAATGTTATTTGTTAACCAACTATTTCCATTGAGATTTACGTATTTCCAAATTTATTAAATAACATTATGATACTAAATTTAGTTATAAAATAATAAAAAATGGCCATTGTAAATTATCAAAGAAGTTTAAAATACATACTTTGTAGGCGCCTCTCCTTCATTGTTAGTAAATAGGTAGGCATTGTAAGAGCTAAATGTGTATTGAAGACGTAAAATAATTAACACATTTAACATGTTACACATCAATGTAAAAAATATTTAAACTAATTATAATTTAATAAAATATTTAATTTCCAATTTATGTAGTCTTATTATAATTGTTGAGAGTTACTATGGGTAAATATCTAAAACAATGAATTAAAATATATTCTCAACGATTTAAATACAATTATATAGATTCTATATTCTATTTATAGAAAATATTTATGAACTAGCTATTTATAAGACTAGCTCTAATTTGCTTATACCGGATTCTGTATTTTATTAAATCCAATGGTTTATCGTGGTGAAGATTAAAATTTAAACTCTAAAATTAATAAAAACTTAAATTGTAATTCATTTTACATAATATTTAAAGAACAGAATATTTTATTTTCAGTTCACGTATTCAACTCAACCGAGACGATCGCATATAGCAAAGTCTAACTGTACATCGATAACGTCTCTAACGGCTCAATTTTAATATAAGCAATCAAATATAAGATAAGTGAACTTTAAATAATAAAATAAAAAAAGGGCCAAAACAACTTTTTTACCACTAAAACGTCAAATAATCTACATTTCAACAATAAAATAATAAAAGCACCTAATAATAACCCATAGATCACATCCATAACCTCAAATGCCAAAACCAACTCAATTTCACAGCTTAATAATAATCCAGACCAAACCACACCTAATCAATCACCTCCAAACTTAAGAACTAATTAAAACCAAATGTCATTCGCCAATGCTGCAGCAAAAAGCTCGAGACCTCAAAAAAGAGCAAGCTATAATAATTTAAATAACTGATGACATTCAACAACACGAATATACATGAAATAACAGAAATATAACCAAATATATTACATTATATATAACATATTATTCATGTCACGCATATCTAAAGATAGATTCTGCATATTCCTATCATCGGTAGAACTGCTAGACTGCGTCGTTAATTACCCAACACCAATAATAATCAACGAAAAACCAATAATTTTAACCACGATAAAAGAATAATAATATTGAACGTATGTCCAACGATCCCAAATAAAACAATTCTAAATGAACTCAGCGACATTGGTATAAGCCCCACCAAGTAAATAATTCACCTCACATACGGTGTTAAAAAACAAAGATTTGTACACATCCTAAGCTTCCGAAGCAAATGTTCATATCCGCAGAAACCACCTTAAATTTTCTAAATTCTTTACTAATTAATCACAAAGGATCAAATCACAGAATTTTTTCTCGGACGATTCACTGACTTGCTACAAATGTAAAAAAATCGGACACACTTCTTCCAGCTGCAATGAATTCACAGAAACAACCATAGAAAATCAGAATATTTTAGGAAAAATAAATGAAACACAACAACAACAACAACACACAATAAAAATACCACAAGCAAACAACATACAAAAAGAGCACCCTATAGAAAACCCAATAAAACTACTGAAACGAATATAGGTCCCACAATTTATCGGGATGGCGATAAATTTGTACACACGTAAGTGGCAACTCTACTCAGACATAATTGAAAAAGAAATACAAATGAAAAACTCAATAATCAATAATTCAAAACCACAACAACTAATCAAATTCTACACAAATTTATTTATAAATACCGCGTAAAAACAATCGGTAAAGGCATAAATAATAACAAACCAAAAGTGTCATAGTGGAACGATAGTATAAAAACAGCAATCAAACTAAAAAACTACGCACATAACCACTACAAAAAGACCAAACAATTTAACAACTTCACTGTTTTAAAAAAAAATAACTCATTCAAAATACTTAATCAATAATAGCAAAATTAAATTTTGACAAGATTTTACATCAAGTCTAATTTTGAAAGTAAACGCGTCCAACATCTAGAATAAAATAAAATCATTAAAAAATCCAAAACGCAACAGCCAAATTAACATAATCATCAACGAAACCATAATCTCTCAGCAAGAAACAGCAAATAAACAAATCCTATCTATGTGTAAAGCTCCGGTCCAGAAGGCATACCATTCTCTTTTATCCACCTATCATTGTACTTAGAAAAAATAAATAACATGTCAACATTCCAAAACGGCTTCCGAAAAAATAAATTTACTAATAAAACTAAGCAACACAACTCCCGAAACATTTTAACAAGAAAATGGAATTCCACAAGGGTCAAGTCTATCCCGAATATTATTTTTAATAGCCATAAACAATAAAATAAACTGTATTACTGAACCCATGAAGTACACTTTCTTCGCAGACGACTTAAATATTTTTTTTACAGAAGTAAACAAACAAGCACAATCCAAATTCTACTTCAAAAAGCATAAATAACCTAACAAAGTGGTCTTCAGAAACAGGCTTCAATTTTTCGCCAAATAAGTCACAGAGCATCTATTTTAACAAAAAAGAAATCAAAAACCTCCCACTTTCAAAATAAACGAACTGATGATTCCAAACAAAGATACAATAAAAATTCTAGGCATTACATTCGACAAAAAATTACCATAGATACCTCATTTAAAACTCATAAAAAAAAACATCCCAAAGAACAAACATCATAAAAATACTAGCACACATTACATGGAGTTCCAAAAGCAAACTACTAATTCAACAACATTAAGCATTTATCCGGTCAAAATTAGAATACGGCGCAGAAATATATTTATCAGCCAAAAACTGAATTTTAAATACAATAGACCCAATATTCAACACCTGTTTACGCCTAGCCATCGGTGTATTCAAATCCACTCCGATAGAAAGCATCTACATTATAGCTAGTGTACTCCTTCTCGTGATCCGAAGAATTCAAAAAGCACTTAATTCCGTCGTAAGACTAACCAGAAATAACACTGAAAAACTAATACCACATCAAAATCACATTGAACACAAAATACAAATAAGATTTTTCAAATATAATAAAAAATTCAATTATGCAAACATCTCCCTGGTCTACCAAAATCAACAGATATACAGAACTTGCAAAAAATAAAAGAAAAAACAAACCTCTCCAGAAATTTTCAATAACTCTTTTTACGATCTTAAAAGTAATTTCTCTGGACAAGACATATATACTGGCGCTTCAAAAAACGAATAAAGAGTAGGAATTGATATTATCATTGAAAAAAAAAATAACAACATATAAAATACAAAAGAATTATTCAATATTTACTGCTGTATCCATCGCCATAATATCAGCACAAAAAATTATGAAAATGATTCACTTCTGTATAACAATATATTCACGGACTTCTTAAGCACAATCAACTGCATCCAAAATACATTCCAAACAAACGACATTACCACCGTCATCATAAACCAAGTAAAAATATAAAAAGAGCTAAACAAGAATGTTAAATTAAAATGGAAGCCAGGCCATTGTAAAATAAACGGGAACGAACTAGCTGACCAACACGTAAAAAATGCAACATAATTTAAAGCCCCCAAACAAAAATACAGCACAATAGTAATAGACACCAAAAGTCATATAAATATTTTAACACGGATCATATGGCAAAACCATTGGGTAAACCATAAAAACAAATTAAGAGAAATAAAACAAACTATAAATCCCTGGCCACATACTAAAATAATTATAAAAACAGAAATAATAACCAGACTGAGAATCGGTCATACCCACTTCACTCATGGACATATTTTGAAGGGGAGTTAATCGATTCCGCCGAATATCTGTATAAATTGATTGCGCCGAATATTTTTAAATATTGATTCCGCCGAAGATTTATATATGTATATAAGCATAACATATATATATATATATATATATTATAATATTAAAACATTTTCGGATTTTGTAAACACATAATATTGGTTTCAGCAGATTTTCTACTTAATACTGACAGTAAATAATATTTTATTCTACTCTACAAATTTTAATTTAAAATTTTTATGCTTGACGCGGACTCAACGACGGCTGTTCACTACAACGGACGCCGACGACCGCATTTCTTGTCTCTTAATCAGCCGACAGTTCGCGGATCGCGATACCGACGCGTAGCACTCCGCACCTTCCTTCAGGAGCGGGGAGAGCGGAGCATCAGCACCGCCGAAGACAAGTGTCGACGGAACGACGGAGCTGTTGTTCGTCAATTCTTCACACGACACGTTTTTCGCACATCAAAACGACCACACTTTGTGACTCGGATTATTCAGTGTTTGTTATTTCATTCAGTGTGTGCAATTACCTTGCGTATTATTATTATTTGTGTGTTCGCGTTTGTACAATGTACGGCGGCTCACCAGCCACTACCAGCACACAATAGTCGTGTTCGTGTTTTCTTTTTATTATTATCCGTGAGTTGTGACACTTGCCGGTCCACGACATGCTATGCAAAATATTTGTAGATGGTACATTTTATAGTTGCTTAAAATATTTCTATCAACCGTTTACGGTTCATATTTTTAAAAATGGACATTAAGTTCCATTATCCTATTTTTTATTGCCAGACAAAAACACAAATACATACGTTACCATATTTAGATGTATTATTAAAACATGCTCAGTTCAAAATTTATATTTCAATCCAACTACATTTGTTGCTCGGGACTTAAAGCACTTAAAATCATAAATATAAGCACTTAAAAAAGCGTTTAAAACATCATTATAAGCACTAAAATAAGCATTTAAAAAAATTGAAATTGAGTAAAAATATTTATTAAAAAAAAAAAAAAATAAATAAACTATACAATTCTAACTAAAAGATCAAACACAATCAAAATAAATCTACACTTTCATGAATTTAAGGGTTTTATGGATTTTCTAAGGCGTTTTCTGAAAAATAAAATGTAAACAGTTCTCTCTGTTTTTAATGTTTTATTTTCAACGTTGGAATATCTTTGTTAACCGTAAACCGATACCCACGAACTACGTGACAACGTAAATAATATGAGAATTATTTTTAAATTTTACAAACTTTACAAGAGAAAACTAAAAAAACTTAAAAAAAATTGGTCAAATAAGCAAAAATAATCAGAAAAGCTGGAAATAAGCATTTTTCTTTCAAAATCGCTGAAAGAAGCAAAAAAAGACACTTTCAAATTTCATCATTGTACGTGTTATAACTTGACATACACTTCTATAGCACTCTGCTAAATTTTAAGTTAATCCATAAAAATAAGCAAATGCTTTTTACTTCCGATCCTTGTTGATTAATAATCAGTGATTATTATGTATGTTATTATTATTATTTATTTATTGTATAAAATGTACCTATATGTTTTTTTTTCTTACTTAACTTCGCGCCACAATACCGTCATGCTAGATATGGTATATACATAATATAATGTGTATATAGATGTTTCATGTATATATATTTTCGGCCGAATCGGATATATATGATATATGAAAATATTCGGCGCAATCAATAGCCGGCAATATCGATAGGTTTCTTACAGCTAAAAAGACCATTTCGGCAGTCGATATACGCCCCTTATACAGAAACAAACTCAAACAAAATGCATCTCATCCGGAACGACACTCACTATAAAAAATTTACTGACCGAATTCAGATCCAACGAGAAAGAAAGGAAAAAACACAACATACCATCGAATCTATAAGAGATCATCGGCCCCGGCTGCCAACCAGAAAACATCACATCATTTCCCAAGGCATTAAAATTAAAAAAAAAAACATATAAGCATTAAATAGAAATAAGCTACTAAAATTGTAAAACCTTTTTTCTTTTTTCCTCAAAGTTTTTATGCAATTGGATAAATCTCAAAAGCTAATGGCTTATACTGTCAAAGCTATAAATATCAATAAAAAAAAAATTTTTTTCTTTAACATAAATAATTACTAAAATAGTACGAATGTTATTAAACAAAAAGTATATTACATACCGTTTATCAACATTAAAAATAAAATATTTCCAGCAATCATACTTTTATTTTTTTTTTTAAAAGTATACTTAATTCACCACTTATGTTCATAAATTATTGTTAAAGAAAAATCGATATTCCTTGTATGAACTCTTGATTTTTATCTAAGCAGTTTTCTTACAAAAAAGTATTTAAATTTTAAATGTGATTTTGAAGTTAGTAAAACAATGATATTCAAATACAAGGTATAGTTACTTATATAGAAAATTTTTCAACAGAAAGTTGGAAAAATAATAACTTTAAGAATTTTCCGTTGATCAAATATTGTCATTAACAACATGCTTTTTTTTAAAACAAATGGCGCAACAGACCTTATGAACAATATCATGTGAATTGCAGAAATATTTGTATTAGATTAGGGGTCGACAACCTTTTTGCTTACGCGGGCCATATTTTTTATCGCAGAGGGCCGCATACATAATTAAAATGAACAGTTCTATACAACAGTTTTTATAAATTCAATCAATTTTTTGTAAAATTAATTACATTTATAAGTTATTAATTTTACGATAAATTGATTAAATTTATAATTCGACGGACCAATGTTATCCGGAAAGGAATTTTTTTGATACAAAATAATGCAGTTACGTTATATACTTAATGAACAGAACATTTTTTTTTTTTAGCATAAATAGTTACTAAAATAGTACAAAAGTCATAAAACGAAAATCATATAACATACCGTTGATCAACGTTAAACATAAAATATTTCCAGCAATCATACTTTTAATTTTTATTTAAAAGTCTACTCAATTCACCATTAGTTATGTTCATAAATTATTGTTAAAGAAAAATCGATATTCCTTATATGAACTCCTGGTTTTTATTTAAGCACCTTTTTTTTATAAATAATAGTTAACATTTTAAATCTGATATTGAATTTAGTAAAACAATGACATTAAAATACAATGTATTTGTACGTAGAAAAAATATTTTTCAACAGGAGGTTGGAAAAAAAATAACTACATAACTACATATACATTAACATTATGCTTCTTTTAAAAAACAAATGCGTAACGGACCTTAAGAACAAACATCAAATGAATTCCAAAAATATTTGTTTTAGATAAACATATATATATATATATATATATGTTACGGGCAAAAGTCGAAATCGGGCAAACCTCAGAAATGCCCGGACAAAACGCGAACTGCCCACAATCCTTGGGCAAAATATCATATTTCGGCTTTTGATCGGGCAAACCTAGTTAACTAACTTCATTTGAGCAAAACCGCCAAAACCGTTTATTGACTTTTATCGTAAGGACAAAACCATAGAGTCTTAAATATGTATAAGGGAATTTTGTCATCACTTTATGCCAGAAACCAAATATTTCAATGCAAGGAACAATTTATTAGCAGCAATGATGTACCGAATATCGAAATACCACTGAGGACTGCTAGTATTCAAAATTCATTAACTGGAGGATAAGGGTTTACTTTTTATTCTTGCAAAACTAAGTGTACTACAAGACGATGTAAATGTAAAAAACAAAATATTTTGTGTGGTTCTAAATGCCATGGTTCTAATATGTGTAGCTACAAATAAACAAAAATATTATTTTTTTATTATTATTTAAGTGTTTTCAATTACCTATATCTCTACAATATTTTATGATTATTATTTTTTTGTATTTAATATTAGTGAAGTTATTTAAAACGCTACAGTTTGGCTCATTTGAGGTTTAAATATATTAATTAAGTTTATTCAATTATATTTGTACAATAATATTTATTTTATAATTATTTGTATTTAATATTAGCGAACGTATTTAAGGCTCTACGGTTTTGCCCTAAACGATAAAAGTCAGTATACGGTTTTGACGATTTTGCTCAAATGAGATTGGTCATAACTAATTGTGCCCGGTCAAAGGCCGAAATATGAGATTTTGCCCAAAGATTGTGGGCAGTTCGCGTTTTGCCCGGGCATTTCTGAGGTTCGCCCGATTTCGGCTTTTGCCCGTAACATATATGTATATATATACATATATGTCGTAGGCCATATGGAAAATTAGTTTTTTTTGCAAAAAGACTAGGCTCTTTGCAATGGGGTAGCCCGTTAGTACTTTACAACCGGCTATTTTAAGGATTTAGACGGATTGACGACGTATACTTAATAATTGATAGAATCTACATGATAATGACTAATCAGTAGATTAGATTATAACTTTTCACCGTACATATTTTTGTCGGCATGCTGTAGGTAGATGGATACTATACGTTAGTAAACCGTATGTATTTCAACGTATGTGTTAATACTTACGAGTGCGTAATATGGAAAATATAACAGCAATGAACAAATTTAACAATGAAGTTACTAATTATTATAAAAATAAAACGAACGCAGTTAAACAACCATGGACAATAGCTACAATATTTGATGCTGTTTCTAAAATAGCAGCTTCTAAAATACCAGGAACCAAAAAAAAATTGTAAGCAATATAGACTTATTAAAAAATATGATATTCTGGAAGTAGGTGATTCAAAATATTTGGTAAAAAAAAGAAAAAACATGATGAGGCAATTGTTCAATTAGCACCACGCGAGAATTTTTTTGAAATCTTAAATACGATACAGTTGCCCCATGCTGGGCAAGCATAAGTTATTAATGGCAGTAGAAGTTGCTTGTATATTAGGATTCAACATTTTTTTTGAATGACTGATTTTTTATTTATTATTGAAAATATCATCGATAGACGTTAATATGCTAGTTGTAGTTTTGTTGATAAGTGAGGCCCCCAGGTCAACCTCTTATCAAGAGTGACTCCGAGGTATTTGACAGTTGGTTTCCAAGGTGTAGGCACGTTGTTGAATTTTAATAGTGGTGGTATGGAGTCGCGACGAAGGCTGAAAATGATAGCTGTACTCTTTGATGCGTTTATTTGAATATTCCAGTTTTTACACCATTCTGATAATATATTTAAGTGGCTTTGTAGGTTATGAGTTACCGATTCAAAAACCACAAAAATATTGGACACGAAGGTCGTGATAAAATGATGTATGCTCTAAAAGATAAATATTGTATTCCAAAACCTGTTGTTCTGATATTTTGTAAGTTGTGCAATGTTTGTAATTTAAAAAAATCCCTGTTCAAATCGTGTGTCATAACATCGTGGTTGGTAACATTTGTGTTTTCGCTGTGTATCATTGCGGACGAGCGAGTAGTTCAACGCTACCATAGGCTACGAGTATTGAACGTAGCATACAATGAGTAGTACGTTGATATATTAGTGTAAATCTCGTCGTACGTATACTGATATCACAGTATTGTGAATCATACAGCTTATGTATTACGTTTGTGATCTTTGTATAACCTCCTCAAGAGAAGGGAATATTTATTATATCCATATTGTATTGTAGTTTGAATACTATATATAATTGTAAAATAATTAATATATTTGGAAATAAAGTTAACAAAATTAATAAAGCATTAAGACTTCAAGTTTTGTTACAAGGATAATAATATATATGACTGTAAAAAGTGCATTTCTAAAGTGTCTATCATAAGCAAAGAATCTTTGTGCGACACATGTGTAAAAGAAAAACAAATTCAGAAAAAAAGAGTTGAAGCTTTTGAAGGACAAAAAAAAGCTGCAGAAAAAATGATACAATTTAGTGATAAGAAATTAGTTATAATTAAAGTTGGGAGTTATGTTTTAGTTAATATTCCAAAGGTAGATCGTGGACCATTAGACACACAAAATATAATTGGCAAAGTTGTCGACAAAAAAAATAAAGTTCATCAAATTGGTACACGATTTGGAATTATAAATACGTGGCTAGGCAGAAATGTATTACAGACAACCGATGCATAATTTCTTGACGAAGTACCAAATACAATGATGACATAAAGAGAAATAGCGAAGAAACATTCTCAATTTGGAGAGCAGGGTTATCAAAAATGTTTTTGCAAAACATCGTGCAAAACAAATAAATGGGCTTGCCGGAAAAACAAGGTACTGTGTAGCTCAAGATGCTACGAAAAAACCACATGTAACAATAAATAAATACCTTTATATTATTAATAAATAATAATGTTACATTTTATACATTTATGTTACATATTTGTACTGTGTTATTATCAATAACCCTTAAAATAAAATAATTAAAATGGTTTTTACCATAAAATGATTGTAGTTCTTAAAAGGCCAAACAGCTGTTAGTCTGTATGCAATGAGCCTGAAAAACAGCAGGCTGTTTGGAAAAAATAATAAGTAGTTCGCAAACGGGCTACCCCATTGCAAAGAGCCTAGTCTTTTTGCAAAAAAAACTAATTTTCCATATGGCCTACGACATATATATAATGTTACGGATATACATAAATGTAGGTCCTTGCGACTATTATTACATAGGAGGAACTACATAAATCATAAATAATAGAAATCGAATGAACGTTATAGAAAGGAATAATTAAGACCAGAGGGCAATACAATCACAAAATATATATGAGCTGTAAGGCAACATTTCAAAGTATTATAATGAATGCAATTAATAATAATGCACAACAAAATATGGAATATGAGCGAAAGGTAATATTATTGAGGTCAACCATTAAAATAACAAATTTTAGCAATTCTTTTTAACAATAATTGGAAATAACTTATTCCATAGAGATGCGTAACTGATTCCACGAAACCTGAGTAATTAGTACCTCAGGGTAGTAACAATAATTGGGAATATCCTTGTTCCATAGTGCTGCGCTGCCAATTCCCACGAGACCTGAGTATATAAGGGGATTGGAAATAGACCAATATTCAGGTGTAGTTTATACGAGTATTAGCGAGCACCTTCACGCCAGAACGTTTTTAATTAATTATTTGTACTTAGAAAAATTTTAAATAAACAGTTTAACTAGATTGAGAATTTTTTAGTAGATTGCCTACCTTTCCCAAATTCGGGAGCATTTTTTTTAATTATACATCGTCGCGTTATTAAGACTAGTCCTTCGAATTGTTCTATTATATATCAAACAATGTACAAAGATACAA